CAGCTGAGGCGCCACCTGGAGCTGGCCAAGCACGCATACAAGGTACAAGCGGACAAACGCAGAAGGGTTGGCGAAGAGCTCCACGTGGGAGACTGGGTCTGGTTAGCAGCCCACGCAGTGCCGGCCAGGTCGTTGGCCAAGAAGAAACTAGGGCATAAGCAACTGGGGCCCTATCAAGTCGAAGAGCAGGTCAACCCGGTGGCCTTCAGGCTGGCGCTTCCGGAGGGTTCCAGAATGCATCCGGTGTTCCACAGATCGGTGCTCACTCCCTACAAGGCACCGCACAGGTTTCAGGAACCCGGAACGGCGCCGAGTCCGGTCAGAGACAGAACAGGGCACGCAGGAGTGGCACAGAAGGAGCGCATCAACGAGGTCACAGAAATTTTGGATTCCAGATGGGGGGAAGAAGGGGTAGAATACTTTCTCGCCAAGGAGGGCACCCCGGCCAGTGCGAACAGCTGGGTGCCGGGCTACGCCTTGGACGAACCTCTGCTCAAAGACGAGTTTCATGCCCTCTTCCCACATAGACCAATGCCAGCAGACTTTTTCGACGACTGGCTTTTCACGCCCACGCTTTCGGCCAGCACGTTCCGGGGGTTCGACTCGGACGAGGACCCGACACGAGACGTCCGTTCCCAGGAGGGGTCACCCTCGGGATCTGCCTCAGAACCCTCGTATTGGTGGGACGACAGACCAGAGGAGCAGTGGCGCAGGAAGTGGCAAGAAGGTCCAGGACGAGCAACGCCGCCAGGAGGAAGTGAGGGAGAGACGGACATGGACGTTTTCGGGGACGACCCTGGTTTCGAGCACGGCGGCACAGAGATGGAAGCAGAGGTGACCGTCGTCGACGAGAGCAGGGAGGAAGAACCGGAAGACTTCGGATGGAGGCCCGCTACGGGAAGCGAACGGTACCCGACATTCGTCCCCTTGACACAGCAGCACCCAGCTCCAGCACCGGAAGGAGGGGAAGGGGGAGTGGGGGGCTTCGAGGGGGGGATGGATGTCAGGGGTTCAGGAGCAGAGGCAAGGGCAAGGGAGGAAACAGAGAGCGAAGGGGAGGAGGCAGAAGAAAAGATGAGTGATGACGACGACCCGAGATCTCCGAGTCTTTCCAGTGAATCGGAGGATTCACAGAAAGGAGCACCAGTGGCCAGGGCAAGGGGGGAGTTTAGGGGGGCACCCCAGGAAGATAGAGCCAGAGGGGACTCAGAGGAGAGCAGTTGGAAATCGGGACCAGCGTCACCGCCAGAGAACAGGGAAGAGGAAGGGAGCCAGGGGGCAAGCGCTGGCAGCTCACAACAGGAGGGAGGGCACGAGTCAGGAGTGGCCACACCTCCATCTGGGAGCGAAGAGACGGTTAGACGGAAGGTGGAAGGTTGGGCGCGCGCGCCAAGTTCAAATGCACAGGAAGGCGGCGCAGTAGGCAGCCCGGAAAGGGAGCCAGGTCCTAAAGCCCGGCGCAAGGAGACAGGAGGGTCCGGGGGGTCAGCGTCAGAAGAATCCCGGAAGGAAGAGACCCAGGGGGGCAGAGGGACCCAGAGAAGAACAGTCAGGCGGAAAAGGTGGAGCAGGGCTAAGATATTAAGTTGGTGTACAAGGGGCGGAGATTCAGACGGAGCTTCGCCGAGCTAGCTACTAGACGTAGAGTTGCACGCAGCAGCTTGAGAATGGAAACTGTAACTCAATAAAGACTTTTACTAAATGACCGTTGGCTAGCGTGATCCTCTGTGAGCTAGGATCTTGAAGCAACTCTGACAGTATGTAACCCAAGGTACCACTGTACTATGTTTTAACTGATGAAACCCACCTGGAACCTTATGGTGAAGGGCAGGGAAATGATGATGATGATGATGATCTTTGCTAGGTCAGTGGATATTCATTCAAATGCAGTACTTTTGTTGTTGTTCTGTTTATGAAACTTCTCCAATAACATCAGCAATATTCTTCTCAAAGGAGAGCAAGGGATAACCAGCACCTGGAATGTGTTTTCAGGTGCTGGGCACAGTTTGCCAAAGTGATAACCAAAAATGTTCCATATTAAAATTATTGGTTTTTTATTGCAAGGATCAATAAGGAAATATGAAAGGAGAGATGCACCAATGGATCTCTATGTGCTTTAGATAAATGGCAAATTTGGATTCCTGGGTAAAGGAAGACAAAGCAGCTTCTGAAGGAGTGGAGAGTGCCTTTCTAAGCATGTATTTCCTGAGCTACAGCACAGACTTTCCCAGTGTCTGGATGCAAGTTAATTCTCTGTCCGCGGCTGACAAAGCAGGGGCATAAAATCTCTTCTGCCCAGGGGCTGCCGATGTCATAAATACACACCTCTGATCATGACTTGGAGGTGACCAAGTTTGCCGATGATACCAAACTGTTCAGGGTGATAAGAACAAGAAGAAAATATTGCAAGGAGCTCCAAAAAGATCTCTCCAGACAGGGCGAATGAACATTAAAATGACAAATGAGATATAATGTAAATAAGTGTAAAGTGCTTAGAACATTTTCTGCTGTTTTTGGCAAGAGCCGATTTAGGAAGGAGACTAGACTGGGTGGAGAGAGGACTGGACTGAAAGGAGAAAGAATGGGGGAGAAGGGGACATGTGCTATATTCTGCTAATTATTCTGTTATTCCAGTAGGTGCCCCCCTCTCCCCCACTGTCTCTCCTCACAGTCTGCTCTCCTTAGCGCTTGCCAAAAACAGCAGACATAAAATTGACTCCTTGTGAATCAATTCTACAAACTGGATAGCCCACATTTTAACAGATATGATGGCCCTGAATAATGGAGAAGTGTTGAGCTCTGTCAGGTTTGGCTCAAAACGGGCATGCTAACTATGAACAATAGTGGAGATCACTTGGGGAAACAATTCTTTCCCACCAACAGTTCTTATAAAAGCCAAAGGGACAGGGGTGGCACTGTGGTCTAAACCACTGAGCCTCTTGGGCTTGCCGATCAGAAGGTCAGCGGTTCAAATCCCTGCGATGGGGTCAGCTCCTGTTGCTCTGTCCCAGCTCCTGCCAACCTAGCAGTTTGAAAGCACGCCAGTGCAAGTAGATAAATAGGTACCACTGCGGCAGGAATGTAAATGGCATTTCCATGTGCTCTGTTTTCCATCACGGTGTTGTGTTGCGCCAGAAGCAGTTTAGTCCTGCTGGCCACATGACCTGGAAAGCTGTCTGTGGCCAAATGCCAGCTCCCTCAGCCTGAAAGCAAGATGAGCGCCGCAACCACATAGTCACCTTTGACTGGACTTAACCATCCCGGGGTCCTCTACCTTTACCTTATAAGAGCCAAACAGACTGCTGAGCCCACCAATCCCCCCATTTAACACATGCTATGGGTGCTGTTGGGACGCGGGTGGCGCTGTGAGTAAAAGCCTCAGCGCCTAGGGCTTGCCGATTGAAAGGTCGGCGGTTCGAATCCCCGCGGCGGGGTGTGCTCCCGCTGCTCAGTCCCAGCGCCTGCCAACCTAGCAATTCGAAAGCACCCCCGGGTGCAAGTAGATAAATAGGGACCGCTTACTGGCGGGAAGGTAAACGGTGTTTCCGTGTGCTGCGCTGGCTCGCCAGATGCAGCTTTGTCACGCTGGCCACGTGACGCAGAAGTGTCTCCAGACAGCGCTGGCCTCCGGCCTCTTGAGTGAGATGGGCGCACAACCCCAGAGTCTGTCAAGACTGGCCCGTACGGGCAGGGGTACCTTTACCTTACCTTTATGGGTGCTGTTGCTTCAGTCATAGCAGAGAGAGAGATTGGTTTTCCTCCCTGGTCCCCTTCCCTGTGCACTCCCTCTGTCTCTCGTGCCTCTCTTCTTCTTTGTTTTTCTTTCCCCCTCATCAGTGCCTGGGATGGTGGGAACTATATTCTCCCCATGAGTACCCGACATCATCAGCATGCCCACCAACATTTCTCCGATGAAAATAGGGACGTCCCATTCCATAATGATAATTTTACGATTTATACCCCACACATCTTACTTGGGTTGCCCCAGCCATTCCGGGCAGCTTCCAACATATATACAAACATAATAAAACATTAAACATTAAAAAAAAACAAAAAACACCCTTCCCTATACAGGATTGCCTTCAGATGGCTCTGGGGTTAGATAACTCCATACCCTCCAATATTTCTCCAATGAAAATTGGGACATCCTAAGGAAAAGTGGGACATTCTGTGATCAAATCAAAAACTGGGATGGCTTCTCTAAATCAGGGATGTCCCTGGAGAATAGGCGAACACTTGGAGGATGTGCATCAGGCACTTCCTGGTGTTCAAGGCACCAAAGTTGGCTAGAAAGAGAGGAGGAGGAAGAGGAGGATCACGACAGGGGAGGTGGAAGAAGCACCCTGCTCTGTCCTGCTCCTGCTGTGGTTATCAGTGCAGCAGCCAGTGTATGTGTGTGTGTATGTTAGAGGTAGGAGTTATTTTCCTACTGCAATCCAACCAAGAAAAGAACTCAGTGCAGGTAACTCTCACCTTCACATTGAAGCTGAACAAAAGACGAACCCGGGGGGGGGGGGGACACGCCCCTTCAAGGTGAGCATTACGAGTCGCCAAGTTTATATTCCGAGCCAAGGAAGCCCCAAACTCGGCTGCATTGCTCCTGTCCCGAATGCAGAATTTCAGGGCGCATTCTCTGTTGGTTTAAAGAACGTCAGACCCAAGTAGCATATAGCATACATATATTAATGTCCAAATGCTATACATGAATTGTTGCCAAAAGAGTGAATAATTGTTGACATTAAAAAAAAAGCCCCGTCCAGTCTTTCTAAATGTACAATTTACGATCAGTGAGGCTTTTCTTGGGGGGGGGGGGGTTGAAGGGGGTGAGGGAGAGAGAAGAGAAATGTGCGGCATGTGAAATAAATTAATGGGCCTCCGTAAATTTAGGGACTGCTGGCAACTCAGCTTTGCATGTTGCAATAAAAATGGTTTATTGGACTAACATTGTTGAATCCAGAAGCCCAAATTATACTAAGCCTCTACACAGCATCCTGGGCATTTCTAAGGGGCAGCGAGGGCTGACCCCAGTCCCTCCCTAGCCTCGGGCTTTCCTTGAGTTTTTGCCTCCGTGTGAGGCTTAACAGTGCAAAAGTAAGTATATTTCCCTTCATTTAGCCATGTTTCTTTTCCACGGCGTCTTTGCGCTTCAGCCCTTTCTCATCTCCCCAGAGCGCCAGAACCCATTTATTTCTTTGCCGCTGCCTTCCTGCTTTCCTGAAACGGAGCTAATGTACCCCAAAAGGCTTAGAGAGACTGTCGGCTGCAACAGGAGAAGCACTCGAAAAAAATATTCCAGGGCCATTTGTTGTCAGGCCAAGAAGATAAACAGCCCCAGAATTTCGCAAATGGGAGAGAAGAGGACTGGTGCGAAGCTGGAGCTGAGAAGGAAATTGTGTAGTAAGGAGGGACGGATTGATATCCTGGCAAAAAGGCAAGCGTAGCACCGAGCAGGGTGGGCGTTTGCAGCGACGGCTTGATGCAACGGACCAGCCTTAGCAAATTGATTTGCTGCTTCGGCATCTTATCAGCAGATTTTTTAATAAGTGGGGGAGAGTTGGTTTTACAGAGGCACTGGAGTTAGGCTCCTCTCTGAAGTTGCTTTGACGGTGCTGCTGACTGAAAAAGACTTTGCCTTTCTAGAATCCACACTTCCACACTGAAGCATTTCCGTTTAGCTGGCGGCATGCAATGAATAAAACCCCCAGCAGAATTTAGTGTCAGGGACAGGCTAGATGAGGAGAAGCGGTGGAAACCACCTGAACAAAAGCCCCTTCCAGGGAAAGCACAGAGGGAGAAAAATTGGATCCTAGATCTTGGTGGTGAACAACTGGACGCACCCCAGAGGAGGGGAAGAGCTGGGAAGAACAGGAGACTGGGAGCTTGGAGGACGAGGAAGAGGAGGAAACAGGCAGGTGCAAAGCCAGGAATCAGACTTAGCAGCTTCACCAGTGAGCCACCCTGACAGCTTTTCTGCTGACAGCTTGCAAGCCCCTCCACACTCCCAGAACAAGGCGTCTGAGGCACATCACAGAGCAGAGAGCCAGGCAGAAATAGAAAGGGTCCCTTGGGGCTCCCCATAGATAGAGGGAGAGGCTGGACACAGAGGGAAAGGAGTAAAGTGGGAGGTGCAAGCCAGTCCCAGCAATTGCTTCACCTAGGTGAAGCGTATCTCAGTGGTCTCCATATGTTCTCTGTTCTGTTTCCTTGAAAAAGAAACTAACTGCGAGTTAAATGGTGTTTCCCTCTCTTTCTCTGATCTGCGAATGAGCTGTTCTTGCATGTTCAGACCCAGAGACCTCCCCCCTAAATAAACACACATTTAACTCAAATTTTAGTTTTGGTTTTTGGCAGAATTTAGGCCACAACTTTATTGATTACTGAAAGTGAGTGGTTGCATAGGCTCTGGTTCGACTGGCTCCCTGCACCCTTGCAGGTAGCGCTGACTCAGAGCTCTATCATAGGTCAGCCAAGGGTGAACACCTGAGGTAGGTGGAAAGCCTGGGAACAGACTATGTCCACTCCCCAGATGCTCCCCTGGATTCAGGCATGGGCACAACCCCCTCTCGGGGGTTGACCAAACCAAGTTGAGTCCCTGGATTCCTTTAACGGAATACCCTTCACATAGGGATGGCGAGAGCGTTCTCCCATCCCTATCACATGAACCAGAGCCTATCCGCAACCTTACAAGTTGTGACAATTTGCTACGTGGCAGGCAAAACCCAAATGGCAACAGCCAATCAGCCAAGTGGGGGAAATTCCTGCCGTACCCCTGTCCCAATGACAGACAACACATGACGGCATAGCAAGGTTAGCTGCAGAATGCCCTAAATATAGGGAGAGGTGGGTGGGTGTTCCAATGCATGAGCCAAAAGAGGAAGCTCTGGGTCACGTGCATAGGTATATATAGGTCCCTTGGTCCATTTAAACAGCTCCCCATTGGCCAGATTAAACCTAGCAATGAGGGACCTACCAATTGGGTGTTGTGGCTGTCCAATAAACCCACCCACAACCAGGAGGTCAGTTTCCAGGTCTCACCGCAACACGTGCCCTCTTTTAGTGAGGACACGCTTTATCAACTCCCTGACATTTAGGAACGCATACAGAGTCAGAACCTAGCTCAGGATTTCCAGCTGAGAAGGGCCATAGCTCAGTGGCAGAGCATCTTCTTCAGGTATACTCCTTCAGGTATACTCCTTCAGGTATATGTTGGGGATTGATGTAAATCCTGTACTCCACCACTAAGCTATGGCTCCTCTGCTTCAGGTGCTTCATTTGGTACAGATGCAAGCCAAGTGGTCTGTTTTTGGACACAAAATCCTGCACCACTGGCCATGCTGGTTAGGGCTGATGGAAGCTGGAGTCCAATGACATCTGGACAGTCACAGGTTTCCTGTTCCTGTTCTTCAGAAGGACATAACACTGTCTTAGCTGCAACCTGAAGGGCTTGTAGCCCCTACTTACATGGGAAACAGGGTTGCATCAGGGCTGCATTGTGCTTTTAAAACTCCCCGTATTTAGCTTAGCAACACTTTTAGAAACTGGGCCTCAGAAGAAAAGCCTTTCTATGTGCTCCCTAATGGCCAGAGAATGTAATACCTGCAGAGCCGGAAATGTGCTGAAGTATATTCCTGAAAAAGAAAGCATTTTACTAGCTGGCATCACATGATTCAATGTGTGCAGTAATGCTCTGTTGCACAGAAACATATTGTATATGCACATGTAAGCATGTGTTACATAGAAGGAAAAAATGTGAAATAGGCAGCAGTAACAAGATGCAATCATTCAGTAAAGTGATTTTCTTGGAACACCCTTTTACTTCCTCAGAGAACTCCTTATTTCCCCACCCATGCCAGATTACAGTCCTGCAGTATTAAGAGCTATTTTCTGCACATCTGTAGATGTAATCATGCTGTGTGCATTGCAGAGTACTGAAACTGTATTCCATGAACTCAGCACTGTACTATATGCTCTGTACTGTTCAGTTCCTTTTTATTATCTAAGTCTTTTCCGTGCTCTCTCTTTTAAATGTGTGGATTTATTGCGAGTACTCTCATTCCCCTTGCTAATTTCTTTGCTCCTCACAAACGGAAGCTAAAGGTGGGCCCTTCACCAGCCATTTCAGGATCCAGCCATTTCAAAGTCTCATCTTGCCCTATCCTTTGAGGGCCAGACTTCCCACCAAATTGTATTCAGTTTATTGTGGATACGTGCAAATCTGTGAATTTGATGTTACAGTGGTACCTCAGGTTACAGACGCTTCAGGTTACAGACTCCGCTAACCCAGAAATAGTACCTCAGGTTAAGAACTTTGCTTCAGGATGAGAACAGAAATCGCACGGCGGCAGCAGGAGGCCCTATTAGCTAAAGTGGTACTTCAGATTAAGAACAGTTTCAGGTTAAGAACGGACCTCCAGAATGAATTAAGTTCTTAACCAGAGGTACCACTGTATTTTATTGGGAACAGTGGGTGAGGGGAGGAAGAACTCCAAAGACTACAATTCTGGGGAATTAAAGGAAAGGTGCCTGGGAAACACATGAAGATTGGTAGTTGACAGCAAGGGACAAAAGCAAGATGAAATGAAAGGTGACAAGATGGGACATCTTCTCTGGTAGATGGTTCTCTAATAGCCAAGTTTCACAAAGCTCCGGCAATGTGTTCCTGGAATAACACCACACTCATGTATAAGTACATGATTTGCATGCATTAGCATGGAGCTTGGATATCCCCCCATCTCTCACACACACATGATTATTATTATAACAACAGCAATAATAATAATAGCCAAATCATCACCATTCCGGATGAGCTCCTGCAGGTGTTAATTGGGCTACTGAGGCAACCCATATATTCTGCTGAGATTTTTACCTTAGATTTTGGTGTTGTTGTTTCTGCCAGGCAGCAGGTTTGAAAAGCTGCAATGGAATGAGAAAAGATGGCCTTTGGTGATTAATAGCGCAGTCCTCTGCATGCCTATGCAGACATCAGTCCCATTGAATTCAATAGGCCTACTCTGGGGTAAGTGGATCGAGGACTGCAGGCTGAAATTATGCTTTTTTCTGGTTCACAGCAGAGGAAACCTTTCTCCCCCCTAATGGAATTGTGATTATAGAACATATTAATATTACAAAAGGTTTAAGTCCATTAAGCTTCCAGGCTTGCAGCCTTTCTTGCCTAATGAATGGTGCCTGTGAGAGGTGGTACCCGAAAGTGACAATGGAAAGCGAAGTTGGCTATTATTTCTCAAGCTTCCAACAGCTACTGTATTGCTGTCAGAGTCATGTCGCTGTGCTCACGGTGCCTATTTTAACATTCCTCAGACATGCTGGCATAAAATACAAAGATGATCCAATTACATTTCCTGCAACTGCATCTTATTTTACTAATGCTTACAAATTAATGGTGTCTGCCACTGCCCCCCCAACACAAGAGGGAGCAGAGATAGCATTTTAAATCCCATGAATTTTATAGTATGCATTACTTAAATACAGAAAACAACCCTAACCGTAAACAGTTGACATGCCTCTCATAATCTCTGTCTAGTCAATATGAAAATGTAACTACATGGGGCAATGCAAAAGAAATTCCACTGTATACTCATTTATTAGGAGAAGCATTATTTATTCCTAGCAATTTACTGTTAGTAATTTATTTCTGTAGAGCCATTAATTCACAAACTTCTAAGTGCTTAGTCAAATCTGGAGTTCTCGCAATGTATCTCCCCAAATCACTCTCTCTGTGTGTGTGTTTTGTACCAAAGTCCCATAACCCTTAGTTGAATTCAAGATCCAAATCATCTAGCCCTCATTCCCTGACCCAGCAAGAGAGATCTGTCATTGTGGGCTCAGCTCCACCCTCACCTATGCAAGAAGAAGAAGAGGAGGAGGAGGAGTTTGGATTTGATATCCCGCTTTATCACTACCCGAAGGAGTCTCAAAGCGGCTCACATTCTCCTTTCCCTTCTTCCCCCACAACAAACACTCTGTAAGGTGAGTGAGGCTGAGAGACTTCAGAGAAGTGTGACTAGCCCAAGGTCACCCAGCAGCTGCATGTGGAGGAGCGGGGAAGCGAACCCGTTTCACCAGATTACAAGACTACCGCTCTTAACCACTACACCACACTGGCTCTCTTGACCATCACTTGACCATACATGGTCCCTTACCAGGGCTCTTTTTCAGCCAAAACTCAGCTACGGCACCTCTCATGTGGGCACCATTGCCATTCTAAGACAACAAGAGAGGTGCTCTTCATGAATACTGGCAGATCTTTTTCTAGAAAAATAGCACTTTTGGCAGGGTTCCCCAGACACACATCCAGAGCCTACTCTCTAACAGCTTAAATGCACCATACAAGCGTTGAGTGAACCCACCTAGGTCAACTAAGTGAAGCCATTGCAATTAATGGAATTAATTTAGATGTGTTCACTGATTTCAGTAGGTCTGCTGTGAGTAATACCACCCCTGGCTTCCCGACGCCACTGCTAGTTTCCTAGAGGGAGCACTGGGGAGTGCAGTGGCAGGTGCAGTGGCATAGCCAATCCAATGCTCTGGATTGAGCAGCATTGAGCTCTTTGATGCCTTCCCCTGCAACTTTTGATTACTGACAGTGGCATTGGGAAGCCAGGGGAGCATCGCTGCTCTGTTTGTACTGCATGGCTGGCTCCTACTGCGAAGCAGGAGCTAAAGAAAGGTAATAAGGAAATGGGCAGAATGCTAGAGTGTGTGTCTCTATCCCTAGCTGTCTAAAAGCGTGGCTTAACTTATCTATTTGGATATTTGGAATCCATTCTTACAAATATTGATAGGTTAAGATCTGGTGAATTACGATAAAGGGAAAGGACCCCCGGATGGTTAAGTCCAGGCCAAGGTGACTATGGGGTTGCGGCGCTCATCTCGCTTTCAGGCCAAGGGAGCCTGTGTTTGTCCACAGACAGCTTTCTAGATCATGTGGCCAGCATGACTAAACCACTTCCGGCACAACAGGACACCATGACGGAAGCCAGAGCGCATGGAAATGCATTTACCTTCCTGCTGCAGCAGTACCTATTTATCTACTTGCACTGGTGTGCTTTTGAACTGCTAGGTTGGCAGAAGCTGGGACAGAGCAATGGGAGCTCACCCTGTCCCGGGGATTCGAACCACCAACCTTCTGATTGGCAAGCCCAAGAGGCTCAGTGGTTTAGACCACAGCACCACCCAACTTTGCAAAGTATACAGTTTTGGGGTGTTTTTTTCTGTGCCCTCCCCCTTTACTTTTCCTTCTACACGGGTGCTATTTCTCTTTTTATCTTTCTCTTTTATTTATGTCTCACCACGTTTAGTGTGCATATAATAATTTTTAACTTTCAATAAAGGAGGAAATAAAAACTTATCTATTTCCAGTCTGGGTCACTTTTGCATGTGCCCACTGAAAAGTCTATTCCATTCTGTTTCTGCATTAATCTGTGGGTTTAAAGGGAGGGAAATCCACATAATTATCTCTTTTCTCAAACTGCATCAGAAAATTCAGGATGGTTGAAAGACACTGAATAACTAAGTTCTGGTCGGCACATTAGTCTGGACAGTTTGTGTCAGGCCACTCTATCAGAATTCATGAAGATCAACTTTACTCAAGCATCCCTAGCAAAGAAATTTGAAGTGACAATGGCTAACACAACAAAATCCCTCTCCCACCCAAATCGCCTGCTTTCAAATAGGGCAAGCCAGTTCTGGAGCAGCTGCGGCCTTGAAATGGCAGGCAGATCTCTCTGTCTCTGTTTAAACTCAGCTCCCGCTTGTCAGATTGTCTGCTTCCTCTTTGACCTGGACTAAAGCTGTGACATGCATTAGAAATATACATAACAACCATTCCTAAAGCCTCTTTTAAAGCCTCTTTTGCCTTAGATTTCCATGGATACGGGGAGAGGGACTATCAAGAAGGCCTCCCAGCCTTGGAAAACAACAACAGGGCCCAGAAACAGCCAATTATATGGGTTGCTAGGAGGTGTGAAATACTCTTTAACCCAAAAACATCTGGGAGGCTACCCGTAATGCCAGCTATAAGGGAAGGGCTCAGAGGATGCAATGAACATCTTGCTCTCAGTGATTTTCTCTGCTTAGTTATATCTATGAACCGCCGTTTGTTGAAGGACCCAACCCTTCTTCCTAAGTTGCAGTTCTATCCCTTTAACACATTTTGGCATTAAGTGGTACATTTAATTTAATGAAGATGTCAGAAAAAGAATCATTTTGGGTCATCCCAAAAGGGTATAAGTACCACTGTCAAACAGTAAAGGTAAAGGTAAAGGACCCCTGGGTGGTTAAGTCCAGTCAAAGGCGATTATGGGGCTGCAGTGCTCTCAGGCTGAGGGATCCGGCGTTTGTCCACAGACAGCTTTCCGGGTTATGTGGCCGGCATGCCTAAACCACTTCTGGCTCAATGGGACACCGTGACGGGAATCAGAGCACACGGAAATGTAGTTTACCTTCCCACCACAGCAGTACCTGTTTATCTACATGCACCGGTGTGCTTTCGAACTGCTAGGTTGGCAGGAGCAGGGACACAGCAATGGGAGCTCACTCCGTCGTGGGGATTCAAACCGCTGACTTTCTGATCGGCAAGCCCAAGAGGCTCAGTGGTTTAGACCACAGCGCCACCCGCATCCTTACTGTTCAACAGTAAGAGCAGTGGGACAGTCTCCCTCAGGAGGTACTAGACTCTCCTTCCTTGGAAGTTTTTAAGCAGAGGTTGGAGGGCCATCTGTAATTGTTACCTTAGCTGAGATTCCTTCATTGCAGAGGGTTTCTGCTCATACAATGAGACTTCCCCTTCTTTTTCTCTCCCAGCACACCCCCCACTCAGCCAAAAAAAAATTGCTTTGAAGGGTTTCCCAACCACCTAGAAAAGATTTGAGAGTGTGCAGGTGTGTGCACACACATGCAGGGGATGTTAAAGTTCTGTTGTGCAACTGGATTTTGCTCCCCATATGATACCATTGCATTGGATACAACTTCCTGTATTTCTCCTTTTTCCTTCAGTCTCTAACATTCACTAAGCTACACACTTTGCCTTTCTGTATTTCTCTGAAATGTTGTTCTGTCTCTACAGGAATGATGGAAGAAGGCCTTCAAGCTGTACCTCCATCCCAGCCTGGAAGGGTATCAAAATGGGATGGACTCAGTAGGAGCATTTGGAAATCCTAGCTACGTTGTCTTCATCTGCCTCTGTTTTATTTAGATGACTAAATATTACCCCATTAGCGTACTATAACCGTTGCTCATTTTCCTCTCAGGCATTCTATATATCATATATACCGCATTACTTAATTACCGTCTTTCGCACTTACACACCGATCTGTCCATTGGCTTTTAGATCACATTCTTAATTGCAATAAGCAAAGTAGCTTTTTGTTATGGCACAGGGAAAGGGTTGGTCAGCTGCCCACTGTTGGCATTAGAGCACACAGAGGGCTGGCCAATGATTTCTTCTCTCTCTCTCTCTCTCTCTCTCTCTCTCTCTCTTCTCTCTCCTTTAATGATCAATTACCACCAGAATAGGTTTCTAATGGCCACACTATTAGAGAGTAATAGACTTGGCTATAATAGTTCCTGTTCACAATATTTCTCAAACTAGACACTGAACAAACCCCACGCCAGCAAATGTTTGGCATGTTTGCCTCATGGCCCGGTATTTAAAAGGCAATATTCTCTCACACACCCGCAGCAGGCCTGGCCCTACCCTTTGGCAGAATGAAGCAGCTGCCTCAGGCGGCAGGTGCTGGGGGCAGTACCTTCTGAGCTGGGCTTTGACCTCCAGTGCAGTGGAAGATGTTCTACCATCACCAGTCAGTCTGTCAGCCTGGTTGGATTCTGCGCATCTCATCCCCTTGCCTCAGACAGCAAAATGACTTGGACGACAAAGATTGCTTGGAGTCTAGAGAAGGAAGTGTCCTGAAAAACATATGCAAGGAGAGAGGAAATGGACTTGGACCTTCCTATGTATACACACTTATATGTGAACCCTGGGACAGAGGTCGCCTTGCCAGATGGAGGAACTCGCGCTGAAAAGTGAACAATGCATAAAAACGTATCATCTAAAGCCATAGGCCGCCACAATATAAATACAGCAAACAATCGTTTTGGCATACTCAGCAAGCAAATAGATTTACAAAAGCAAACATTCAAAAATGATACTTTCTCCTGCAGTGTAAACTACACATTGCCCTTCTAGAGGAGGCTATATAGGTGCTAAGAAATATGCCAAATGTAGAATTACATTCTGGACCCACATACAAAATTTTGTTCTGATGCTCTCAGTGGTGTTTAAAAATAAGGTCATGAACAACATTGTAAACACACATGAAATACTGAGGAAACAAGTTGAATTAAATATTTCTCAGGTTTTTATTGTGCAATTTCAATTCATTTAACTAATGCTTCCCAGGAAACAGTCTGAAGTGATTTACTAAAAGATAAAGAACCAGCTTCTTTTAAAACTGCTGCTTTTTCTTAACGGTTGGTTGGTTGGTTTTTAGGCTGCATTTTCTTGGTTTTTAGGTTGCCTTTTTAGGCTATATCTGTATCTTGGGGGGGCGGGGGCGTTGTTTTGTTTTTGCTTACTGTGTTGATTTTGTTTGATCCGCTTTGTGTATGTTGCGGAAAATGCAGGCTATAAATTCATTGATAATAAATAAGTAAATGCTGATAGGCCTCAATTTACTCAACCCTCAGCCTGCTAATAATCATTAGAACAGCCATCAGGAGATCTTGCCAAAATATTGTGAGATCTTACAAAGCACACAAGATCTCACCAGAAACTGTGGCTGCTGCTGCTGCTGCTGCCGCCACCTCTCTGCCAGTGGCAGAGGGGCAGCCAGGGCTCCTGTGGGGGTGCCACCTCTTGGAATTCTGCCACCTGAGGCCACTGCCTCAGCCTGCCTCATGGGCAGGCCGGCCTTGTCCGAGAGATTAAGTAGCATTCACGTGGCAATTTAGTGTGTGAGTAATTTGGCTGAGGTGGGATTGGAACTGTAGGCTTACAATTTCTCCTTATTTATTTTTTTATACCATCAGAGCCCTATATATATTCTTTAGTAGAGAACAGGAGGTAGACTGATGTAGGATCTCCCTTACACATGATTCCATATGTCATTCCTGCCCCCTAAGGAGAAAAGACATACATTCTAAAGAGAATTTGCTCTATCCTGCTTGAATCTCTAATTCACATGAGAGTCAAACACTCAATTCTGTACCTACAAATAAAGAAAGAAAAGAAAGTGTAAAGGACCTGCATGATCTTTATTATCACCTAGAATATATGACTGTAATAACTCAATTTGCATGACATAGGAAATATGGTTAGGCTCTTGACCACAGCCACGGATGAGGATTCTTTCCAGCAACCCATTGCAAATGAACCTGACAAGAACCAAAATAGGATAAGAAGTAGTATTAGTTTACCATCTGTCCTTCCAGAGTTCTCCAGCAACAATATACCAGATCATCTGGCACTTAAAAGTAAACCAAATAATTGTGACATATGGGCAGAGATTTCTTTTCAATGCCTTGTTCAGCAAGTGGGGTAGGGGTGGGGAGTGGAGTGGAGTGGATATTATTAATGCACAGAAGTGTGTGTTTTAATGCCTTTGTAAGTGACCGGGCAGGTAATTTGTTGCTTTCTCATGCTTTCCCTTAGTCTATAAATACTGTCATGCACCAGACCCTAAATCGATGTTTGTAGGAGCTGTGTTACGCTAAGGATGCCCTGACTTACATCCTTTGAAAGAGTCTTTCGCTGATCATGTAATGTTTAAATTCTGGAAGAGGTCTCCTTGTTCTGTCTACTTTGTTGTTGTTTAGTCGTTTAGTCGTGTCCGACTTTTCATGACCCATGGACCAGAGCACGCCAGGCACTTCTGTCCTCCACTGCCTCCCGCAGTTTGGTCAAACCCATGCTGGTAGCTTCGAGAACACTATCCAACCATCTTGTCCTCTGTCATCCCCTTCTCCTTTTGCTCTCCATCTTTCCCAACATCAGGGTCTTTTCCAAGGGAGTCTTCTCTTCTCATGAGGTGGCCAAAGTATTGGAGCCTCAGCTTCACGATCTGTCTTCCAGTGAGCACTCAGGGCTGATTTCCTTAAGAATGGAGAGGTTTGATCTTCTTGCAGTCCATGGGACTCTCAAGAGTCTCCTCCAGCACCATAATTCAAAAGCATCAATTCTTCGGCGATCAGCCTTCTTTATGGTCCAGCTCTCACTTCCATACATCACTACTGGGAAAACAATGGCTTTTACTATATGGACCTTGGTTGGCAAGGTGATGTCTCTACTTTTTAAGATGCTGTCTAGGTTTGTCATTGCATGTCTACTTTAGGCAAGTGCATTTTGTCTTCAGAGCCTGGTGAGAAGAAATTGCTGTAAAAATGAAACTTTCTTTTTTTAAAAGGGGAAATGCACCACCACTTCCCAACCTTATAGCAGAAGTGGGGAACTGTATCTTCCCATTCCTCAGTTGCTTCCAGTTACCAAGAGGATGAGGGCGAGGTGGTAGGGAAAGGGTTGCAGTGTGGCTGCAGCAGTGGTGGCAATCCACTGCTCCCACCACTGAACCGAGCGCCCCGCCTCCTTGCCCGCCCACCTCTCTCTGTAAGCAGCAGTGACCTTGCTGCTGACAAGCCAGATAAGCAGTGCACCGTGCCCCGGCCTATGTTTAGGTTTGCAGTGCTACTCCTTCTTTTCATGCCGAAATTGGAGCCTTAAGAATACTGGCCATATCACCAGCACCAACCACTCAGTATGTTAGGAAAGTACATCATTCAGCCAGGGCACCCAAAATGTATGAACACTCCGCACTCTACAATCTGATGAGCAATGCAGGGACAAGGTGTCAAGTGTAATCACATTTGTATTCAGATGCTGTTGAGAGCAGACACTGATATATGATCCATCAACCACCGCCAGTTTTTCTGGCTCCTCTATATACATATGAATGGGTGGATGAATAGATAAACAGACAGTGAAATTATGTTGGAAACGACATGGCACTAAGCCCATAACATATCTTAGACTCATTAAAATATGGCACAAATGTATCTCTTTCCCAGAGCAGATCTCGGAGAGCATTCTGTTTTACAACATGGAGATCAATGAAAAGAGGACAATTCCTATTAAATATGCAGTTTCAGAGGCTGCTCCTTTAATTTCGCAGCTCACCAATCCTTATCAGCCACTACCAAAATCCCAAAGCGGAGAGGTTCACAATGATTTCATTCGAACATTGCAGAATCAGAATGTTATTTTTAAAATAATGTCTCGTTAGCAAATATATTGACTCCTGGAATTTAGTACTGTGCCTTAGTTAAGTATCAAACTGAAGGAACAGAAACTTGAAAGAAAACACGGCTGCCTAGGGAAACAATGATGGAGAAATCCTGAATATGTCTCTGGATAGAATGTCTCTGGATAGAAATATTTTAAAAGGCATTTTTAATAAGAGGGCATGTCTGAAGCAACCTTTTATAATCAATTTGGGAAAGCTGGGTGGTCGGGCTAAATGCCTAGCTGAGAAGCTGTCTCTTTTTTAAGGTACAGGTATGTATAATGCAAGGGACGTGGGTGGCGCTGTGGGTTAAACCACAGAGCCTAGGACTTGCCGATCAGAAAGTCTGCTGTTCGAATCCCCGCAACGGGGTGAGCTCCCGTTGCTCGGTCCCTGCTCCTGCCAACCTAGCAGTTCGAAAGCATGCCAAAGTGCAAGTAGATAAATAGATACCACTCCGGCGGGAAGGTAAACGGCGTTTCCGTGCACTGCTCTGGTTCACCAGAAGCGGCTTAGTCATGCTGGCCACATGACCCGGAAGCTGTCTGTGAACAAACGCTGGCTCCCTCGGCCAATAAAGTGAGATAAGCGCCGCAACCCCATAGTCGTCCGCAACTGGACCTAATGGTCAGGGGTCCCTTTACCTTTTATGTATAATGCAACTGCTCAAACCTGATTTTTTACACTCTGTCTTTACTATTCATGGGATAGTTATCAAAAAGGACCTCAGTCTTAAAGTTGTTGCTGGCATCCATCTGTCTCAGGAGACAATGGAGTGTGCCTCGAGGGGTGAAGTCAAACCTCCTCAGACTGACCTCCCCATGGAGCATCCCTGGGCAGTGTATATGGAGGTCCTGGGCTGCCCAGATGATAGCTTTGCTGATGTGATCTAAAGGAAAGCAGAGCACCAGTTTGGCTGCAGGTGTTGCTGGAAGGAGGCTACAAGGCACCATCTTAGGGCCTCCACCCCAGATCTGTACAGGGTTTACTTCTTAGCCTTTTCTTCTCCCAGAGATATCCCACAAGGCGGTGGAAGTTTAGGATCAGAGTTATCTTTCTCCTAGATGGACTGTCTTCCCAAGTTGCCTTCCCATCAGCCTCTCAGTTCCCTCTACAGCATATGCAGAAACCACCTCCTTGACCATTGGACCCACAATTGGTCTATTTTGCTTATCAATGTCCCATGCACAAACCATCATGAATGCTCAATAAAAAGGATGCCTGGGGGGGGGGGTTCCTAATCTTTCTACAACCTGTCTCCAACCACAACAAAAGTTTGAGGGAGGGGGGAGCTTGGGAGAAGATGAGGTTCACCACTCATACCACCATTTTCCTTTTATTACATATTACAAAGCTCTTCAAAACCCACTTTATAGGCAATTGCAGCCGACCCGCATTTAAACATGCATGTCTGACACCATCATGACTCATGTCTAATTTGGCCTCCAGTTTGGGGAGTTCTCCCACTGGAGAGTTTTAGATTCGGTGACCTTAGAAAGGTGCTTTCCAGCTGATGGATTCTACTATGGTCTCTCTCCAGAGAGCATCACGTCTCTCTCCAGAGAACTGAATTTCTTGGGGAAGCAAATGGCACGCGACTGAAATCCGAGTCAGGATTAAGGAATTTTTAAACAGTCTAAATAAAAATCAATTCCCATCTTAATTAGATTTTGTTCCTTCGATGTGGCTGATGTCAACTCTTCTAAGCCTCTGATTGTTTAGGGATTCGGCAGGACAAACAAGAAAGCAATATCTGAATTTCCAAAGTGAAGAATAAAACACACATACACAACCCAGCCGTCTAAAAACAAAACGAGGCTGCTGATCTTGAGCACGTTTATTTATAGAAGTGGGTCTCACTCATTGATTCCAGCTGAGTTTATTTCCTACGCTGAGTGCTTAGGATCATGGTGCCTCTTAAATATTGCATCAGCAAACAGGAGAAAAATGAACAGAGCTAGCAAATGTGTAATATATTTTGGAAGTGCCTAAAGGAAAAGCAAAGAATAAAGCAGGTAAATGAGTTTTGGTGGTAAAGTAAAAGACCTTTCTGGATGGCCAACTTCTTCTTCAAAGCTTACTGGAGCTTAATGCAAAATTATGTAAGGGTGAGATCAAATGCAGCATAAAGAAGGTGGGTCCTTCACTCATGGTGTAATCTGGAAGGCTGAACTTGTCTTACTTGCTGCACATGTCAAGGGCTACTAGCCATGATGTCTATGCTTGCCTTCATGGTTAGCATAGGAGCCAACTCCTAGGGGCCAAGGTCTGTGCATGCGTGTGATGTTATTTTGCGAGTCTGCGCATGTGCGAGCGGTGAAACCCGGAAGTAACTCTTTCCGGTACTTCCGGGTCGCCACGGGACGTAACCTGCAAGAACGTAATATGAAGCGGATGTAACATGAGGTATGACTGTATATAAAAAAAAGATTTAGAGAAACACCAT